GATCTACAGGATACATCATTGATATATCTGGACTAACGTTCATTAAAAAACAAAAAAGAAGGAGATGTGGAGATTAACCAAAGCTACCTCATGTTTAATTAGTATTTTGACTTTGTGTATTGTATAAGTACGTGCAGACTGCCTTGGCAGTTGGAACACGTACGAAGTACAAATAAATGTTATCTGTGTCTGTGTCTAGTAAATAGCTAACCAGAAGGTTGTTATTTCCTCCTTGAGAGCGAGGTCTTTGTGTAAAATTTCAATAAAAGAGAGCTTACGATGATACTCGAGGTTCTCACTTTTGCAGACAGCCCTGTGTCTTGTGTTTCATGGGAACCGGCTCCCAGCCTCTCCTAGAGGAGGGACACAGGTTTGTCAGAGGAGGGGAGGGAAACCTGCCGCGAGAGACTACCGGAAGACGCCCCCTGGAGGAGGGATGGGGAACTATCGTTCTCAGCGGGACTCTCCCTTAGTGGGGGTCGGGGGAGGGGAGGAAAATGAGGGAGGGGGAAAAGAGCTTCCTGAGGGACCCCCTCCAGCTTCCCAGAGTGGAAAAAGGCAGGCAGAAGTTCAGCTGGTCCAGCACTCGGTCTAACTGCCTGCAAGGAATGTGGGATCCCGGTGGGGCCTCTTTGCCCCCCAAAATGGCAGGAAATATGGGGGGAGGGAAGAGACCCCCTCTGGGCTGGAGGGAAAGTAAGATCCATGCTTCCCTCTCCCTCTTCCTTTGGGGGGGGTTGGGGAGGGGACACAATCAGGATACCCACACCCATGCTCCTGGGCTCTCCCAGCCCTTCAACCCCCACTTTCCTGTGAAGGAAATAAAAGTTATTCTTTTATAAAATATAAGAATGTATGAGACTGTATGTTTAGCACAAATGTATTAATGTAGAAATGCCCTAATGTTTACCCTTTCCTGTCCATGTGAAGTGACCACAAAAAGTAATCAGCAAAGATAATTAATTATGACCTACTTGAGTGGAAATTACAAATAAACAAAGATAAGATCACAAAGTGGAAATTACAGATAAACAAAGGTAAGATCACAAAGTGGAAATTACAAATAAACAAAGATAAGATCACAGAGTGGAAATCTATATAAATAAAAATGTAAATGTTCGTTTGTTCAAAATCTTAAATCTCTGAACGTTCTTCACCGATTGCTTTGAAATTCTGACACCGTGTTGCATTCAAATACGCGCGTGTTTTTATATACCTATATTATATAGATGTCACACCTGTGACAGGTAAAACATGCTTTTTTAAAAAAAACATCGCCATCTGTTGGACGTAAAAGCAACACACGCTTTTACCAGACTGAGCCACAGCAATGCGTGGCCGGGTACAGCTAGTTACAAATAAACAAAGATAAGATCATAAAGTGGAAATTACAAATAAACAAAGGTAAGACCACAGCGGATGGACAGAAATTGCCAGGATGACCTTTTTAAATGTAAAGCAACTTCAAAGAATATAGAGAGAGGGAATGGGAGGGCTTCTTGGGCATGACTGCATCGTAAAAGTTATAAGAAGTATAGCTTGGAAACTGCTTGTTGTGCTCTTGGAACCCAATCCATTGGGAAGGGTCCAGGAGACCGTGTTTGCAAACGCTTTTTTCTTTCCTTTCCTTTCCTTTTATTATTATTTTTATGTTTTTCTCCAATAAAACTTTGTTTTGTTAACTAGACTTGTCTTCCTATTGTGAGTATCAAAATTTGGGGGTTTTACATCTCACACCTGGGTACCTTAACATTTCCTTCTCCCCACTTCTTCAGCCCCACTAGCAACCTCTGGATGATTTTCGAGGCCTCTTTCCATTCCCCCTCCCAAATAGACCCCCCTGCAGCCCCCCAAGACCCTCTCAAAGGGAGGGGCTCCATCCCCCTTCACTAAAGGGATAGTTTTGGGGAGCCAATTTAGGGGAGCAATTCAGACCCCCCCAATATCCTTCTCTCTCTGTTCACCCCTCCCCTCCAGATCCCAATTCAGCAATGGGGGAATATGGGGTGGGGGGTTCTGGGTCTCCTCCCCAAATTCAGAGTCTCCCCCCCAGAAGGAATCCAAGCTCAACTCTTCCCTCCCCTGAGGTTGCAAAAACACTTTTGCTAAAAAGCGTCTTTTTTCTTATACTCTTTGCTGGCGTTTGTGGATTCCGGTTCGAAAATGCCTCAGTTTCCCCCTTTTACTTTCGCTTTCCGACTCCTTCTTCTTTCAGTGTAAGAAACTTGAGGGCTCAGGCGCTAATTTGGGTCTGCCAGCCACGGGGGGGGGTGAGAGAAGGGGTGCAGTCGCCTCTTATCCCACCTCAGCTGCCTTTCCGCGACTCGGCCGCAACCAGGGAAGGGGGGGCTCCCTCTTTGTTCTGCGGGGGGGGAATGCTGCCAGGGAGGGGGCGGAGACCACGCGGAGATCGAGGCTCCTGCAGGCTCCCGTCTCTCTTGCCCTCCACCCCTTTTCCCCCTACTGGGATCCCCGCGGCTCTCCTCCCCCTGCCCAGCCCCCTCCTTACCGGGGGTCTCTTTCCCCCCTTCGCTCCCGGGGATCCGGGCCAGCGCCCCCACAAGCAGCAGCAGCAACAGGGGGAGCCCAGCGGAGCCCATGGATGCCGCCCCACAAGCGCCCCCAGANGTTGCTTCTATTCCAGTCTTTAACAGATAGATAACTCAGAAGAACACACAGGTTTATTGCTTTTATTCTGGGAATCCTAGACAAAGACTTACAGTTTGTAGAGGTACATCCAAAATAAGTGGTAGCAATCTGTCTGTCCCACAGGTAAATTGACATTAGATTTTCCCCTCTTCTCCCAAGCGTCACATGGTGGGGTGATAGTCAAAGAACAAAAGACTGCCCTCAGGCTAGTGTCCAGGGATGCCTTTGAAGCTCCGCCCCAGACCCTAATCCCTCCCCTTGACCTGTTACATAGGAGTACATAGAGTTATACAAGATACATAGAGTTATACAAGGTTAAATGGATCTATGATCCAGAGCACTCCCCGCTTGGAAATTAATATTTCCACTACTTACTAACTGAATATGAAAAAAAACTAAAGATATAGCATTAAAGTATACAGTACTCAATGTTGACTAACCTGTGACTACATAGGTAAAAACCTGGTATCAAAACATGCATAACTATTGGTAAATATAAAGCATGCACAATTATGCAAAAAATAAGCAAGTGTTACATCAAACAATGCATAAACACAATACATCAGTTGAGGTTTCATCTTCTGGTTCAGTCTTCATCAGCTACGGTGCCAAATCGGAGATCAGCCTGGTACAAGTATCTTTGAGTCACGACCTGACTCACGTGGCTTCACGATCTGAAAGTCAGCTTGGCAAAGTAGTTCATCAGCTGGGTGGGCCCGGTGTGCAAGTTCCTTGGGCCAATAGTTCTGGTATGCGTTCTTGTCTCTAAGTGAGACAAGGTCGTCTTCCTGTAAAGGAAACTGGAACCAAATCTGGAACAGAAAAACTGGAACCCAAAGCTTCTCAGGAACAAAGGGAACTGGATTCACAGGATACTAAGGAACTGAAGAACCTGGAAAAACAGGAACAGCTGGATCTGGAAACACAGGAACAGCTGGGTCTGGAAACACAGGAACAGCTGGATCAGGAAACACAGGAACAGCTGGATACTCAGGAACAGCTGGATACTCAGGAACAGCTGGATACTCAGGATCAGGAACAACAGCAGCTGCAGAAGACTCAGGATACTCAGGAACCGAGGTATCTGGAACCACCGATGGAGCATTGAGGATGGCTGCTACTGTTGTCATCAGGGTAGTGAGGACTTCATGTGTGGGTGTGGGTGTCTTTAGCGACATAGAGTCCATGATTTCGCGGGGTGCACCAATCATGTGCTCCCACGCTTCGCCTATGCGCGCTTCGCCCATGTGAGATGAATGGGGAAGGCAATTTTTGGCCGTCAGGCGTTTGTCAATCACTGGGTCATGGCAAATGTCTTCAATAGTCTTTAAGTCCTTGCAGACTCCTATAAAGTTCATTCTTGGGATGCTAAGACAAGTGATCAAGATGATCAGAACTATGCCTAATGTCAGGTGCTTCCGCTTAGTCAGGTGTTTGAAGCGGATTGGTTGACGTTTACTGGGTGCCTGAAGTTGAAGGTTGGCGCGTTGAGCCGTTTGTCTATTTGAACAGACCAAGAACTCAGGACTTTCTAGCCAGGTCAATTCTGTTAACTGTGTGGCAAGGTTGGGCCACTTCACTTGGTTGTTGCCTGTTGGCACATGTTGCCATTGTTCAGGGCTCAAAGATGTTTCAACACTCTTCATTCTATTGCCTACATAAACATAGAAATGTCTGCTTTGTTTGTAGATGTAGCTTGACATCTCCTTGCTGTCTGCGTAGAAGGTGGTAGACTGTAGTTCAAGGCGCAGTGTTTTCGCTGTCAAGTGGGTGAGCTTTGCAGCCAACGTGGTACCACAAAGCACTAACCTTGGTACGGTGTGGCCTTCGTGTAGAGTTAGTCTCGCTTTTCCAAAGAAGACACCAAAACTGCAGCTCTCCCCGCTGTAGACTCTGATGTATCTTATGGTTGCAAACAATATGACGTAAGTGTGGCTCTCCCCGCTGTAGACTGTGACGTATCTTAAGACTGTGTTTGCCTTCGTTGACACATCTAAGGACGCATACAATTCTTTCTTTTGCACTGTGGCGGGTGAGCTGGAAACATACGTGCACTGCACTTGCATACTCTTGGGACATCTTGGAAGTAAACTCCATGATTCCTGGTCTTGCAGACTTGCTTGTCTTGTTTGTCCTCTATGGACAAGGCTAAGTTGTTGTGATTCTGACTGGTCTGGAACACTGTTGCTTCCAAAGCAGGTTTGGTTGTCACAAGCGCGCAGTGTTCTAGGTGTGGTTTTAGGTGAGGTGCTGTTCCATTACTGGGAATGGGGGTGTTTAATATGCTCACGTGGGTTGGGATTTGCGGTTGATCAACACAGACTGTCCTATGGCCCATCCGAGTTCCGGCGGGTTCCGTGGGGCTGGTCTCTGTGTAGCTGTAGCCATTGCTGGTGGACCCATCCGGTTGCCATCAAAGGTATGGTTCGGCGGGTTCAATGGGGCAGCAACGCTGGGAAGATCTCGTGGCCTAGTTGTCGTGACATCAACCCCATGGCTGACTGGCACATCTGGCTGCTGAGATTCTTCTGTTCGTCTACTCAGTCTTGGGGGGCTTGTGACTGGCTGTGGTCTCACCTGTTCACGTTGCAATGCACTTTGGTTGTCCACGTAGGTCTGTACTCTGCTACGTCGTTTTTCATTCTCCAGTTGTTCCCTATTGGACAAGAAGGTGGGCTCCTGGAGTGTTCTCTGAAGGCCTTGTGCCCTTGCCACTTTGTCCGCCATGTCTTGTTTGCTTCTTATGAACTCAAGCTCATCTTGAATGGCCTTCATTTTGGCCTTCCTTCTGCTTCTACTTCAGCTTCTGCTTCAGCTTCTCTTTTAGCTGCTTCCACTTCCACTTCTGCATCAGCCTTCATTTTAGCTGCTTCCGCTTTTCTTTTGACTGCTTCCGCGTGTGCATCAGCCTTCCTTTTAGCTGCATCGGCCTTTCTTTTGGCCCTCATTTGAGCTTCTTCTATTTCCATCGCCTGCAATTCCTTCTTCTTCAGCTGCTCTGCTTGTGCCACGCGAAAAACAGCTTCAGCAGCGTTAGCATCTCTGATGGCTTGCTCATCTTGTGAAATTCGGGAAGTTCGGCTGTGGCGAGAAGATGCTTTCGAATTGCGGGAGGCACCTGTGAGGTGAGATTGTTGTGACACGCTGGAGTGTGCCTTGGATATGTGGTGAAAGGATGATGCCCTTCCAGACACGTGGGATGGAGCCACGTGCGACCGGTGGGATGGTGCGTGTGAATGGCGGGAAACTTCAGACTCTGCCCTGTCAACCGGTCTGTCTCTCGGGCGAGGCTCGCATTCTGGAGGGCGTTGTGGGCTCTCTAGAAGCTTCTTGTGTTCCTTGTTCCGTAACCAAAGACTTTGCATGTCGCGGTCGATGTCTGAGTCTCGTAATTGCTGCTGAATGTCCTTGAGTTGCCGTTCGGAGTCAATCCATTGTGTGAAGGCGTCCTCCTTATCTTCTTCCAGTGCGTGAGCACGTTCGGGGGAGGGATCCTCCTTTTGCTCTAGGTAGAGTTTGTGCCATTTCTCCCAGCCTCTTTCATGGTGCTTGTGCACGGTGTGCCATTTCTCCAACAGGTTTCCATACTTGGCTTCAGTTGGCTTTCTTTGTTGTCTCAGATCATAGTGACTTTGAGACGTCTTTGGTCTTACTGAGGCTTGAGCTTCAGCTACTGTGTACAGGTCAAGGGTGGCTGTTTGTGGCGCTTCTCCTTGGCCGTCTGGTTGGGGTGTCTCAACTAGGCTGGTTGGTTGAACCCCTTCATCTAGATCAATGAGCAGCTCTGCCATGGTTAGGATAGGTTCAGTGATCTTCTCAGCTATTTTGAAGCAAATTTGATGAACTTCTCTCTTTGACCACTAGGGGTCGCTACTTGCCGATCAGCGTCAGAGGTGCTGTGTGTGGGTGGAGGTGCCTGGGGGCGTTCTCCTGTGTTTCCTAGCTATTTAGAAGCAAATTGGATGAACTTCACTTTTTGACCACTAGGGGTCGCTATCTGCGTATCAGCTACAGGGGTGCTGTCTGTAGGTGGAGGAGCCACTGGGAGCGTTGTCCTGTGGTTCCTAGCTAATTTGAAGGAAATTGGATGAACTTCACTTTTTGACCACTAGGGGTCGCTATCTGCGTATCAGCTACCTGGGTGATCTTCTTTCGAGGAACACCCTTTGTCCACTAGAGGGCTTTCTCTGGGCGTGATTAAAGGCTCACGTGCAGCTCCTCCTTTAACCACTAGGGGGCGTCTGAAGAGAGGTCAGCCAAATTCTTCCTATTACCACGTACCTGCAGGGCCACTGAGAGGCATGAACTCCCACCTGGACGTTAAGTTGCAGGCTGGAACACACTGGGCATTCAGCTTGTGATAATAGGCAAGGATTGATGGCTATGTGTCCTTCTTCTGTGACACTCAAAACTGGGTGAAAGCTCTAATGGTGGTATAGGCTTGAATGAATTAAATTATCAAATTGTTGTGATGTGAAAAGAATAGGAGACAAAAAAATTTTTTTTCAAGGTGTCATGTGCAGATTGGCCACCAGGGGGCGCTGCTGCCCTGCTAGTGGGCCTTTATATGGCTTCTTTCTAATGGCATAGCTGAAATTCCAAAGGGAGGGGGAGTTTGGCTTTATGACGGAGAGAGAGCGAGCAACTTAATTGCTTAATTGCCTTCTTCCTTGACGATCAGGAATGTGCCCTGCTTTTGCCAAGGGAGCAAATGGTCACAATGATCGTGCTGGGGCCAGAAAGAAGGGGGAGAATCACCCTTTCCAAGCATCAAACAAAGGCAACAATTTTTCTAAGTTTAGCAAGTTGAATTCACGTGCTAACAAGGCTGACTGAAGCAGTAACAACACCACTGGCTCCTTCGCTAACATGCAAGCTGAGTTGGGTTCACAGATGATCTTTGAAGCTATCCCTTCATTGCCTCAGGACATTTAAGCTGCTGGCAAAGGAAGAGGGAAGGGGGGTTTCTATGGCAACTGCTTTCCTCTCCTGAACGGAGATCCATGCAAGGCTTAATGGCTTGCAGAGTTTACCAGCAAATTAACAATACAATGCATTTGAATCACACCTTCTTTGAAACGCTGTCTGCCAAGCAGATACAGTGACATTTCTTTTGCAGGCAGTCCTTGGAAACTTGAGTTACTTTCACATGCAAGAGAGACTTTTCNGTTGCTTCTATTCCAGTCTTTAACAGATAGATAACTCAGAAGAACACACAGGTTTATTGCTTTTATTCTGGGAATCCTAGACAAAGACTTACAGTTTGTAGAGGTACATCCAAAATAAGTGGTAGCAATCTGTCTGTCCCACAGGTAAATTGACATTAGATTTTCCCCTCTTCTCCCAAGCGTCACATGGTGGGGTGATTGTGGAGTCTGCAGCCGTGTGGCTGCATGAGATGGTCAAAGAACAAAAGACTGCCCTCAGGCTAGTGTCCAGGGATGCCTTTGAAGCTCCGCCCCAGACCCTAATCCCTCCCCTTGACCTGTTACATAGGAGTACATAGAGTTATACAAGATACATAGAGTTATACAAGGTTAAATGGATCTATGATCCAGAACACTGTTCATAATATAAATTATTAGTCAGATTGATTGAGCTTAAACCCTTTTATCAGACCTGAATTTAATAATCCAGTTTTTCTTTCCTCAATGCTCTCCTGGCATGTCAGGGAGTTTGTTAATGTTTATTTCAGATTAAGGCAGAGATTTGGAAACATTGTGTGCACAGCTACATGTATGTGGAAACAATATTTCTGTTCAAAAAGGGTTTATACAGGGACATACAAAAGTTGGAGAGGGTTGTGGATAAAAACGGCTTCTCACCTATAATTGGGGGGGGGCTCCATCCCTGGAAGTCTTCAAGTTGTGGTATAAGGACTCCTGTCTCCGGCAGGGGGTTCGACTAGATTCGAAGATCTCCACGGTCCCCTCCGGCCTCTGAGTTTCTGAGGTCTCCCCCTCCCTTCTCCCCACTCCCCCTCCCCCCCACCGAAGCCTTCGGCCAGGCCAGCCCCCTGCCTCTGAGGGGGGAGGAAGGAAGCCCCGGACTGTCCATCAAAGGGGAAGCTGCCCTGGATTCTCCTGGCTCCGGGCTGAACCCCGACGAGGCTCCGCTCCTGCAGCCCTTCACGGGGGCAGAATTGAGAGAAGCCAAGGGGGCCACTCTCTGTGGGGCCTGGACCCCCTGGAGGAGTAAGAGGAGAGGAGGATGACCCCCTGCAAATCGGGAATGACCCCCAGCGGACCCCCCTCCTCCCTCCCTCAAGGGAGAGGACGCAACTTCACACGTGCAGAAATCTCTCTCCGGTGACCCCGGCTGCAGCATAGCGACCCCAGATGGGGGGAGGGGAAAATAGGACTCCCCACTCAGCACTGGAGGTTTCGTCTCAGGGCCCTTAAAGGTGGGTATCGGTTGTCTGAGGAGTTAGGGTGTGTTTGCGTGCGTGCGTGTGTGTGTGTACGTTTGTACGCAGTCCCCCCCCACACACATGGTCCAATCCTGTGGGGGGGCTTCCTGCCCCCAAACTGAGCGGGCGAGCCCAGGAGGAGCCCTAAAGCTCTGCCTCCACTTTGCTCTAGGCTCCCTCTGGGAACTGAAAGGGCATCCAGTCCACCCCTGCAGACACACAGAGAAAAGGAGGCTCTGGTTGAGAATCATGAGGGGGGCCGCAAAAGGAAGTCCTCCCTCCCCTCCGGAGCTGGCAGGAGACCCCCCCTAAAATGCACCCCCGCCAGACTGAAGGGATTGTTCCCCCCTCCCACTTTCTCCGCTTCTCTCTCTGCGCCGAACTATCTCCTCCATCGGATGAAGTCAAGGGAGGCTCTGCCTGGAGACCGATGACGCTGCAGAAGGGAGAAATCCCATTGGTCCTTCCACTTTTCTGGGCCCTCCCAATTACGAAGTTCGAGGCAAACGCCCCCGCCAGACCCACCGATTCCGCCTCTGGGGCTGGGAGCCTCCGCGACTTTCTCCCCTCTCTCTGGGGGCGCTGGTGGGGCGGCATCCATGGGCTCTGTTGGGGTCCCTCTTTTGTTGCTGGTGGGGGCGCTGGCCCGGATCCCCAGAAGCGAAGGGGGGAAGGAGACGCCCGGTAAGGAGGGGGCTTGTAGGGGGAGGAGAGGGGCCGGGAGGGGCCGTCAGTGCTTCTGGGAAGGGGAAAAAAAAGGGACTGGGACCCCAGTAGTGGGAAAAGGGGTCGAGGGCAAGAGAGGCGTGAGACTGCAGGAGCCTCGATCTCCGCGTAGTCTCCGCCCCTCCCTCACTGTATTCCCCCCCCCGCAGGAGAATAGGGAGCCCTGCCTTCCCTGGTTGTGGCCGAGGTGGGCGGGGGTCGTGGGAAGGCAGCCGAAGTGAGATAAGAGGCAGCTGAGCCCCTCTCTCTGTTCCCCCCTTGGCTGAGTGGGAGGGGGTCCTTGCGCACCCCGAATTAGCGCCTGAGCCCCAAAGTTTCTTGCACCGAAAGAGGAAGGAGACGGAAAGCGAAAGTGAAAGGTGGAAACTGAGGCATTTTCAGAGCTGAATCCACAAAGACCAGCAAATGTATAAGAAAAAAGACACCTTTTGGCAAAAGTGTTTTTGCAACCTCAGATTTTCTTCTGAATCTCCATTTTCTTAAGGGGAGGGGAGAGTTGAGCTTGGATTCCTTCTTTGGAGAGACTCTAAATTTGGGGAAGAGACCCAGAACCCCCACCCCACATTCCCCCATTGCTGAATCGGGACTTGGA